TAGAAAAGGTCCGTGCATCACGATACGACACACCCCAACCTTCCATAGTAACAAAGCCCAGTCCTGACTTTCCTGATTTTGGCGCTCTTACAGTGGATTGATTTCACATCAAGGGCTTGCGTAGCCTGCCCAGAAGCTAGCCCCACACTGCGGGAATGTCTCAGCCACCGCCCATCGTGAATATGAATCGGGTTAAGTTTCTTATCATGGAACTTGGGATACTTGCTATCAGCGAGAATTCGAACATTTACCAGCACGAAGCTATTGGAGCCCTCCTACAAGCAAGGCGCTCGGTCACTAGTTCGTGTTGAGTGTTGAAGGCAAACTCAATTATTTACCTACTCGTGCCTACTGCTACCTGGGTACTTGTATGATCTTATATATAATACATGCCGCCACGCCAGCAGCGCACCAACCTCTAGACACTAGACAGAAAGCAGCCACACTGCCCATGCATCGTGCTCCTTCAAGAGGAGGCCGGACTTTGTTTCCGCTTCAGCGATTGTGGTTCCTTTCAGCACTTCCAAGGTATTCCAAGGTCAAGGTGGGAAGTATTGACAACTCAAGTCATGCTGTGTATATATATACATACATATACACACAAAGTTTGGGTCTCTCTGAACTTACCTGTCACAAAAAACAAGAACATCACTACTTTAGAGAAAGGCCTAGTTGCCGGTAGGATAGACCAACAAAACATACTCTTATTGTCAATGCTGTTTTTGGTCGACTCTTCGGTATCTCGATGTCTGGCTCTTTACGATGGCGCGCCAGACGAAGAAGCGCCCCGGCCTCGGAGTAGGAGCCGCCCGGGAGCCTAGAGCAGCCGGGTGGGAGAGGTGGGTCACTGGAACCGGAGGTTTTTTCTTTAGCCCGCCCCTACTAGCAGCGACGGCATCGCTACTAGGAGCAAGGACGCTACTCGGGGCTCCTCGCCTTACTACTGGGAGCAAGGACGCTACTAGGGGCTCCCGGCATCGCTACTAGGAGCAAGGACGCTACGGCTCCCGGCATCACTACTAGGAGCAAGGACGCTACTAGGGGCTCCTCGCCTTACTTCTGGGAGCAAGGACGCTACTAGGTGCTCCCGGCATCGCTACTAGGAGCAAGGACGCTACTAGGGGCTCCCGGCATCGCTACTAGGAGCAAGGACGCTACT